GTGAAAGTTCTAAATATAAGGGTTAAAATTATAAATTGCATAATTATAAATTACATAATTTATATTTTATAAAATTAAAAAATTCTTGGAGAGAAGAATGGTATAAATCTTCCTGACCTTGGAATAGGCAGTGGTTTCCTACATATGCAACAAAACTATAAGCAACCAAAATGAAAACAGATAAACGGTACTATATCAAAATTAAGAGCTTTGTGTTTCAAATATGCTATCAAGAAATTGAAAGGATAACATGCAGAATGGGAACAATATTTGCAGGTTTATGAAGACAATCCAAGCTAACTATCCATTCAGAATTCTATATCCAGTGTTAATATTCTTCAGAAATTAAAAGAAAATGAAGATATTTTCATGTAAGAAAAAAATGGAGAGAATTTTTTGTCAGACAAATACAAATAAGAAATGATAAAGATAGAAAAACTTTCAAGTTATAGGAAAATGACATTAGATTGAGGCTTGAGTACACAGGAAGGAATGAAGAACACTGGAGACGGGAAACATGAAAAAAATCCTTTTCCTTCATCTTAGTGTAAGCAAAGGATTAAAATATAACCATTTAGTACAAAAATAGTACATTTTCTTGAGTTTACATATATGTAGATGTAAAGCATGATGTCAGTACTGAAAGAAGGGAGGGGGGATTGTGCTGTTTTTCTTATACTGTGTGTGAAGTGATACAGCATTAGTTCTTAGCAGGTCATCATATGTCAAATACACATTTTGTAACCCTAGAGCAACTGCTGACTGAAATTACAAGAAGATATAGATAAAGAGCCATTACAGGAATTTAAATGAAACACTAAAGAAAACACGCCAGGCATGGTGATGCCTACCCCAGTACTTGGAAGGGTGTGGCAGGAAGATTGTGAGTTTGAGGCCAGCCTAGGCTACATAGCAAATTCAAGGATAGTTTAGGCTATATAGCAAGACCTTGTCTCAAAAAAAAAAAAAAAAAGAAGGAAAGAAAACATGAACCCAGCTAGGCATGGGTAGCTCATGCCTGTAACCTAGCTACTTGGGAGGCAGAGATCAGGAGGATTGCTGTTTGAGACCAGTCCGGGCAAATAGTTCACAAGCCCCTATCTCAGAAATACCCAACACAAAAATGGCTGGCAAGTGTGGCTCAAGTAAGAGCACTTGTGTAGTAAGCATGAAGCCCTAAGTTCAACCCCAAGTACCACCAAAAAAAAAAAAAGAAAGACAAAGAAAAAACATTAACCCCAAAGAAAGCAGAGAAGGAGAAACAGAGAATTATAAAACTGATGTCTTGAAGAAAAGAAATAGTATAACTGAAAGCCTATACCCAAATACATCAATAATTTCATTAAGTATATAAAAACTAACCACTCTTAATTTAAAGGCAGGATTATCAGATGGACAAAAGAATTAAGACCCAGCACTTTCAATACAAATACTCAGATAAGAAGGAAGAAGATACATCAGGAAAATAGTTAAGTGTAAAATGCTGATATGACTATTCATAGCAGATAAAGTGAAATTCAAGACATTGTAATATCAGGTATAAAAAGGGACATTTCATAAAATAAAAGGACCAGTGGAATAGAAAAACTTAACAACACTTAATGTTTATGTACCTGGTGTCACAACTTTGAAAATATAAAGCAAAATTGAGAGCATTAAATAAGGATAATTGAGGATAATAACACTCCTTTCATAGTAAGACAGGACAATTTGGCCAAAGATTAATATTAAAGTGGATAGAAAATTTGAACAACACGGGTAGCCACCTTGCTTGAACTGGCATTTGTAGAACACTTTCCCCAGCAACTGCTGAATACTTTCTTTTCAAGTACACATAGTATGCTTACCAAAATAAATCAAATGCTAGGCTTTAAAGAAATCTCGATGAATTTTGAAACATTGAAATTCTACAGATTTCTGACTTCAATACATTATATTAGGAATCAATAACAGAAAGATAACTGAAAAAAAATCCCACATATTTAGAAATCAAACTATATACTTCAAAATAGTTCCTAGGTAAGCTGGGCATGGTGGTACATGCCTATAATTCCAGCTACTTGGGAGGTAGAGGCAAGAGGATTGTGAGTTCAAGACCAGCCTGGGCAAAAGTTAGAGTCCCTATCTTAAAATAAAAACAAAAGGGCTGGAGTTGTGTCTCAAGTGGTAGAGTGTTTCCCTACCATGTTCAAGGCCTTGAGTTCAATCTCCAGAACTGCCTCACCCTCCCACCATACACAAAAAAGCCCAGAAAAGTCCATGGGTCACACAGGAACTCCAAAGTGAAATTTAAAAAATGTTTTGAAGTAAATGTAAAATGAAAATGCACCATATCAAAATTGTGGGATACAATTAAAGCAATGCTTAGAGGTAAATTAATACTTTTAAATACTTTAAAAGAAAAGATTTTAAACTAACAATTTGAGCTTTTACCTTCAAAAGCTAGAAGAGTAACAAATTAAACACAAAGTAAGTGTAAAAAAAGGAAACAAGTCTAAGAGCAATAATCAACCAAATAGAAAACAAATCACAGAAAAATCAATAAAGTCAAACATTTGGTTGATAAATTAATAGAGTAGAAATAGATTAGCAAAATTAATAAATTCCTACAAAGACCAATACAACAAGAAAGTACAAATTACTAGTTTCAGGAACAAAAGAGCACATATTACATAAATGGCTAATAAGAGAGTATTATTAACATATGGGAATGCATCAAATGTATCAAAATCAGTACAAGAGCTAGAAAATATGAACAGACTATTATAATAGAATTTAAAATTTTAATACACGTCACACCCTTACACAAACACACACACATCACACATCTTTCAGATACACATATTAAAAAAAAAACTTCTTGCCAAGATTATTTCACTTGTAAATTGTCAAACTTTTAGTAATACGATAAACACACACAATGTCTTTCAAAAAGTAAAGAAAAATGGTTAAATTTCCAACTAGTTTTATGTGACTAACATTACCTTGACATTAAAATCTGAAAAAGACATTTCAAGAAAGTTATTGACCAATGTCCCTCATGATCGTTGATGTAAAAACCCTTATCAAAAACCACCAGGTCAATACAGTAACATATGGAAAGGATAATGTATCTCATCCAAGTTTGGTTTATGCCAGAAATACAAGGTTGATTTAACATACACAGATTTCAATTTCAATGTAATTCACCACTTTAGCAAAACCAATGGTAAAAAGTATATGATCATCTCAGTAATTTAGTTAACTCACTTAACAAAATTTAACACTCACTAATGATAAAAAAAAAGGTTTTTCAGTAAAACAAGCATGAAAGAGAACTCTCAATCTGATACAGGGCAACTATGACATACTTGAGTTAACTTAACGGTAAAATATTGAAACTGCTTTCCCAAATGTTGGGAGCAAGGCAAAATTCTTGTTCACCACATCTACTTAACATTGTATTGGGAGAGCCAGACAATGCACTTTGATAAGAAAAAGAAATTAAAGGCTTTAGATTAGAAAGAAAAAAGTATACCTGTTTTCATTCATAGGTGACTGTATATGATTGTATATGAAGAACTTCCTAAGGAATTTACAAAACAATTAACTACTAGAACTAGGAAGTGAACTTGCCTAGGTCACAGGTTACAAGATCAAAACAAGATCAATTTTAAGTATATCCTAGTAGCAAATAATTGCAAAGTGAAATGAAATAATTCTATGCACAGTAGCAATAAAATGATATCAATACTTAGGAATATATTTTAATCAAAAGTGTGTAAACCCACCTCACTGGAAATAACAAAATATTGCTTCTAGAAATAAAGGCTTACCATATTTGGAAGGATCAATATTATTAGTATTGTAATTCTTTCTAAATTGACTAAAGTTTCATAGAAATTGCAATAAAATCTCAATAGGCTTATGTGTGTGTGTTGAAACTGACAAATTAAGTCTAAAATTTATATGGAAATACAAAGGATCTAAAATAATCTTCAAAAATGTTAAAGAAGAAAAAGAAGATATGCACTACCAGATTTCAAGGTTTTTTGTTTTTGTTTTTGTTTTTTAAAACAACAGTAATTAAGATAGTGGCTGAGATAAGACAACTAGAACATTTTGGCATTTTTTTAGTTATTTTGATGTTCAGTAGAGGCAGAGGAAGGATGGCACTCTTTGAATAGTATAATTGGTTTATAGAAAAAAGAAAACTTACTAGACATAGGGCTGCTTATTTCACTTAAAGGCAGTATTGAATAAAGATTAAGACCTAAGACTGTATAATCAAACTGGGTTCAGGTTTTGGTTCTGACCCTTACTAACTATGTGATCATATTAAGGAACTTAGTTTATCTGTCTGTGCCACTCTTTATTTTTGTAAAATAATTTAAGATTGTAATAACCAAGTGAACCACTGCATGCCGCATGCTTACAGAGCCTGGTACATAGTAAGCACTCATAAATTATTTGTTGTTCTTACTTATGTGCTTTTCATTCTGATTTGTTTTTTGTTTCCTCTTCCATCTCATTAGTTACAGAGGGCTGGAAGGTAGATAAAGCAGGCACTTACTTTCGCACACTCAAATATCTTCGTTCACGCTCTTGTTTCTACCTCTATCTCTCATAAAGCAATTGCCCCTCTTTCCCTGACGGCACCTGCTTATTTTGCAAGACCATTCTGGCCACAACTCCTCCAGGAAGCTTTTCCTGGCTAAAAAGCCAGGCAAGCCTTTTTCTTGTTCCCCCAGCATCTTCTGTTCCTCTCATTGATGTACAGATCAGGTAGTCCTGTGGTTTTCTTTACTGTTTCTTTTGCATGTAGTAGGCTTTGTGAGGTCAGAGGTCATGCCTTATTTTTTTCTTTGTGTTTAAACCCTTTTCTGGTACAAGGTATCCCAACTCATCCTTGTGATGCATGAATAGCATATAACTTCCCAAGAGAAAGTTACATGTTTCTGCTTGATAGTGACATATTAAAATGACATCCATTTACCCATTTTATTAACTTTGACTTCCAGATTTTCCTTCTTGGAATTATCCTGCTCCCAATTCGTGTGTTATTGGTTGCACTGATTTTATTACTGGCATGGCCATTTGCTGCCCTTTCCACTGCATGCTGCCCTGAAAAGCTGACCCACCCAATAAGCGACTGGAGGAGGTAAGAAATGATTGTGTCCAAATATTAGGTAAATCAAGATTTTGAAAGTATTTTACCATGATTTCATCAGTGAGCAGTAGCTTTAGCTGCTCCCTACTCAATTTTAATTTTTTTTGGTCAGATGAAACAGGTCTTAATTTATGTAGAAATTACTGCATGAGTACATTCTGATAATCTTCTGTTTTAGTTATAATTTCCTAATGTTAAAGGATTTCTGAGTTCATTGCAGCAAAATGATACACCCTGGTTCTGAAAGATTTGCAGTTACCAAATACTTTGGTTTCTTTTGCTTTTCCTTGGCTTTCACATTGGCTTTTGTGCCCCAAAAGTAACCTTTTGTTTTCTGCAGTGTTATAATGAAGTGGATCAATTATATTATTTTTGTTAATTGCTTTAGTGATTTTTTTTTTTTTTTGGTGGTACTGGGTATTGAACTCAGGGCCTCATACTTGCTCTAGGCAAGTGCTCTCCCACTTGACCTACAATGTAATTTTTAATCATTATAGCCTAGTGCTCTCAAATGTTAGCACTAAGGCTTCTCAACCACTATCCAGTCATAGTGGTATCAATCAGAATGGTCAAGAGTGAACAGAACTACTGATAGAAGTCATTCCTGTTGGGCAGAATCAAATTGTTGCTGTCTGTCTGTCTTGGTAGTAAGGTTTAGTGTGTCCTCTGTGGATTCCACACAGATTCCACTGAAATCATGCTGTTATTTTTTTCTGTATGCAAGTTGTGCTGCTTTCATCTAAATCTCAAATATGGATATGTCCTCCAAATTTTTTGAGAAACACTGTTCTAGAAACTTTTAAGGAAAAATGCAGTTTGCTGCTCAGTTCATGTTCTAGGGAACAAATGTCCATATCAAACATGAGGCTGGTTTGAAGTGGAAATGAACCCAATGCTGGCAATGCCCCAGAGAAAGCAGTCCTTGCAAACCATACTTCTGCTTTGTAACTCAAGGTTGTGTGGTATAAAACAACACTTCAAGGGATGTTTTTCATGGGCTTGCATTTCTTTGTACAAAATATTTGTATAAAATATTCCGTTATTAGTGGCTTAGGATGATGGGAGGAATAGCCTAAGAATTCAGAAAATGAATATAATAAATGTTAGAAAAGACAGTTTTCTTTTTTGTATTTTTATTGTTTTTGGTTGAGGAAAGAAAGTTTTGCTTTTGTCAATTAAACCAGTACCTCTGTCTTCTTTCAAGCAGGTAGTGTTGAAGCCATTATGTGGCAGCAGACTTTTAGGCAATTTTTAAAACATTTAAATAGAAATGCTTATGGCTCTGAATATGGGGTACTTTGAAATGTACTTATGAGAAGCTGCATCACTGCTGATCAAAAATAAGAGGTGTAGAACTGTGTGAAAGAGTGCATTCTGTATTTCTATAAGAAGAGAGATCTCAACTCTAAACTAAAGGGCACAGTCACTTCCCTGAGCCCTCTGAGAAAGTGCTTTGGTCTACTACGTCTCACTTCTCCTTCTTGTGAAAGTTCCTCGGAGGCCAGCTGCTAATAACACATATTATTACAAGAATGTTGAGAGAATGAGATAGGAAGCCCATTTTAAAACTGGATTTAAAAATTTTTATTAGCATATATAAATTGTACAAAACAATGGGTTTCATTATGACATTTTCATATATGTTTGTAATGTACTTTGATTTATCCACCCCCCTTCCCCTCTCTTGTCTTCCCTCACCTTCTTGATGGTTCCCTTCCTCTTCCTAAACAATCCCCCTCTACTTTCATGTCTTTTTTTTTTTTAATTTTTAAATCTAGATTCTGCATTTGAGAGAAAACATGTGACATTTGTCTTTGTGAACCTGGGGGAGCCCATTTTTTAAGCTCTTCTGAGGTACCTAGTGGGTGATATAGAGCCAGCTCTCCACAGCGCAGGATACACAGATTCAACCTACTGTAGATCAAAGATATTCAGAAAAATTACATCTGAATTGAACATGGACAGACATTTCTTTGTTCTTATTCCCTAAAAAATACATATAACACCTATTTACATAGCATTTACAGTGTTTTAGGTAGCGTGTGTAATCTAGATGATTGCAAGCCTGTAAGAAAATACACATAGGTTATGTGCAAATGCTGCCTCATGATATATGAAGACTTGAGTATCCGAGATTTACCTGCCAGAGTTTCTGGAACCAATTCCCCACAGACACTGGCAAATGGCTGCACACATTTTATTTTCCTTTTCCTGAATAACTGTGTGTTTATTCACATACTGAGATATCCAGTTGAGGAGTCTAAATAGCTAGGATTATGTTTTCTGTTTCCCTATCATTTGGGTTTTGAGCTTATAAAGTCAGAGACTGCTGGATTTTCCTTACTTTTTTTTTTTTTTTTTTTTTTTTTTGGTGGGACTGGGGTTTGAAATCAGGACTTTGTGCTTGCAAAGCAGGTGCTCTAGTACTTAAGCCATGCCTCCAGTTCATTTTGCTTCTCACTTTGGAGATGAGGGTTTCTTGAACCATCTACCTGGGCTAGCCTTGAACTCTGACCCTCCCAATCTCAACCTCCCAAGTAGTGAGAATTACAGGCATGAGCCACCAGTGTCTGGCTTACTTTTTTTTTTTAATAACATTTCCTGCACAGTTCCTGGTACAGCTCGATTAATTAATTAATCTTTACTGATAGAATCTATGCTTTTCTTTCTTTTTTTTTTTTTTTTTTTTACCGGACTGGGGTTTGAACTCAGGGCAGGTGCTCTACCACTTGAGTCACCCCTCCCAGTACTGAATCTGTTAAAATCTTTTTAAAAAAGTAAACAACTACATTTCTGGAATTGCTTAAGTACAGCTCTGTTCCATGGAAGTGAGATGACAAGTTTACTGCTGAGGAGTTTTGATAATGCCTGAGAACTGTAGCAATATACATAAGACTTCTAAAAATTAATCCTAAGATAATTCAGCACAGCCTTCTAAACGTGTTGGGGGAGAGAGCAGCGTGTTCATTACACAGATGTAGATTTCAGCATGACTGATGACCATGCTGACTTGGCTGGTCTCAGTGTAGGATGTGTGTTGAGAATTCACTTTCATCACTCTAGTGTCACATAGTAATGGAACCATTTATTATCCACACATCCGTGGGCAAATTACCTCTCTGTGCCTCAGTGTTCTCATCTGCAAAATGAGGATATAATAAATCATACCTACTTCTTAAGATTAGGCTGAGGATTCAGCCAATAATGTGTGTAAAGCAGTTAAAATAGTACCTAGTGTCTAGCAGAAAGAACTCCATGTGTTAGCTATCATTCTCCTTAGTTTATATTTTAAAAGGAAATTGACATGTTTTGTTTTTCTTGCTGCATTGTAGCGCAAAGCCCTGCTGCTAGCTTCGATTAGCAAAGCTAATTATGTCTTTTGTATATTTATTTTTAAAGGAAAATTACTCAACCAGCTTTGAAGTTTCTGGGTCAAGCCATGTTCTTTTCGATGGGATTTCTAGTTACCATGAAAGGAAAGGTCGCAAGTCCTTTGGAAGCGCCAATTTTTGTTGTTGCTCCTCATTCAACATTCTTTGATGGAATTGCCTGTGTGATAGCTGGGTTACCTTCTCTGGTGTCCCGAAATGAGAACGCCCAGGCGCCTCTGATTGGCAGTAAGTACTTGCAGCATTTAAAATACGCTTGTGTGCATGTTTTAAATTAAAAGAATCGTGTATGGTGTTTTGATAAACATTCTTAAAACATTTTAAACACATTTCCTTGTATTGTAATGAGCTACTATATGGAAAAAATGAATTTATGAAAAAAATTAGACACTTCCCCTTATCTGTGGCCTCATCATTGTACTTAAAACTTGTCACCATACCATCATCCCTTTCTGTCCTTATGTGTGGCTAGTTTGCATATGTTCAACACAATTGATTTTTCCTGTTCTTTCTTTTTTTGAGAGAATTTAACCAAAGAGTCTGTGAAAACACAGGTTACATGCTATTTGAAGAGTTTCTTTTCAGGATATTAGTCTGATAGATGTCCTGAGTCTTCTCTCCTTACTCTGTTTTCTTCACTTTTGCCCCCAAATCTCCATGAGGGACCTGTGTGTAAGTCTTTGAAAATTACGATGTGAAACAGTCAATGCTTCCTGCCATAAAAATACTGAAGCAAAGGAAATGTTTTTCCTACCAGATGCTTCGGTGCCTCCCTAAGGAGTCAGTCTCCAAGTAACTGCTCCCGTCGTCCCAAGGCTATCACAAACATCAGGTGATGAGAGTGTGAGTGTGAAAGTTGCTGGATGTTGCATGGCTGCTCTGGAGAAATAATAGCAGTTCTTGCAGCTTTGTCATTCAACTAAGACACTTCTCTTTCTTCAAGGTGTAACTACACTGCTTGGTGTAATGGGACTTTTTCCTGAAAAATTGTGTAGCGACAGATTTTTGGTAAATTGAGGTTTATTTTGCATGTACTACAAAGCTATCTATTTAGAAGGCTGTTGCACTAAAAATGTTTACTAAATTGAGTAATAATTGTTCCCTACTAATGTGTAATATGAATTCATATAATCAATTTTCAAGGTATTCCTAAAATCAAGCAAGATAATCTTGTAGTATATTCCAAAGGGTTAATGTCAATCAAGGAAGAAGACCTTTGGGAGAAACTTGTAAATGCTTCTTTTCATATTCTTGCTGTTTATTTCTGTTAAATCAATGTAATGATTTTAGGGGTAAATATCCATATATGGGGTAATATCCTTCTGAAGTTAAAATCTAAATTCTAGTAAACTTTGATTTGGAATGTGTTTTAACTTACTCTCTTTGACTTGCTATCATTTTAATTTACCTTGTATTATTGCCATGGTAGCCAAAAAGTGACTTGGTTTTGACTTTTTGTTTTAAAGGACTGTTACGGGCTGTGCAACCAGTGCTGGTGTCTCGTGTAGATCCAGATTCCCGAAAAAACACAATAAATGAAATCATAAGGCGAGCAACCTCAGGAGGGGAATGGCCCCAGGTAAAACACAGCAGATGGTCGTTTGTATATATGACAGTTATTATACTTCTGTAGACTTACTCATGCAGATTCACAAAGAGCAACATCTGCAGATACCTATACTAAGTGTCTTTAGCACAGTGGATTAATGAACTAGTGAGTATTAAGAAATCCTCTTCCCCACAAGATAGTCCATGGATTGAAAGGTGTCGTTTGTTTTTATTCATCAGACTCTTTGAACCAAGTTTTACTTTGTACTATAAAAAGTGATTCTATACCTCTGTTTTTAATTACCATTAAATAATATGAATATATCATATAATATGAGACTCTAAAGTTCAACTGTCCTCAACTATACGATGAGTTTGCTGAAAAAGTGATTAAGGTCTTTAATCTTTTGCAAAGTATATTTATTAAAGCTTTTCAGTTCAGAGACATGTCAAAATCCAACTTTACCATCTCACCATCCACTTGCCTGGAGAGCCTGTTCAGGGAAAAGGAGGGAAATATTTATTGCATGATAAGCCAGGCATAATTCTAACAAGTGTCTCTCCCTCGTCACCCATGAAGACAAGTGCTGTCCAGCAAACGAAGGGTTCTACAGTGATCTGACCACTGTAGATGTTAAAGTACCAAGAGGGATAAAAGGACCAGGAGGTTTTAGAAATCAAGATATGAGAGGAATGACTTAAAAAATGGTTACAAAGAGGAGGCATTTGGAATAAGGGTTTGACTTTTGGGATTCAAGAAATGTATCTAGGATTAGTAAGTGAGACATAACAGGTAGATTTCACATCATTTTACTTATCTTGTAGAATAACTTTCTGTCTGTTCAGAGATTTATAGGTCTGATTTAGAATCCTTTCCTAGAATTTTCAGACATTAATTGAGCAACTAGTTGGTGGGGATATTGGAGAAAGAATTCAAACATGAGAGTTTGTACATCACTTTTAATGCCACTTTCATCTCTGAGATTTTATGATTCACTCTACTTATTCCATGTTATTAAGTAGCTATAGGATTTCTGCTAAATAAAACACATTTGCTATTGTATTGGTTGTCATCAGAAACCCATATTTTAAATTGGCAGATGGAATTAACACCTATTCATAATTTGTATTTTACAAATAACCTGTAATTATAACAATTTCACCCAATAATGTTTCCCCTATAATTGTAAAATACATTGCTGACTGCTGTGAGTGCAGGACCTTTGTTTTTATTTTATGTGCTTAGTAACTTATTCGTGACTAAATTTTAAAAGCGTCAGAAAACCAAGCTGTTACCCATCTTATTTAGTTAGTGGAGAAACTAACCATACTGCATATGCTTCAGGTAGAAAACATGAAGCAGTGCATTAAAAACTAAAACACTTCCTCCAACCAATCAATCAATCAGAAATCCCAAGATATTAAGTTGTATCCATGTGTCAGTTGAGGTGAGCTTAAAGCACATTGTCACACTTCCTTCTTTGTCCTCAAGACATCTCTGAACCATAAGTTATAGGAGTAAGTATCAATTAATGCAAAAATTGATGTATAGCAGCAGGAGGAATTCAATACAGTGTACCTAATGTATACCTTGATCATGACTTATACTACTCTATGTCTTCTTTTAAATTTATTCATATCATTAGTTAAAATATCATTAAGAAACAAATGTAACATATTTTGTAAATGAAGTATATTGTCTATTCAAAGCTTAACTCTATTTTCTAATTATCTTAATGGTCAAACTGTACTTCTGAAGAAAAATTGAATAATCTAATCCTAACTTTCATTACAATCAAGTGTTATCCTTTTATTTCATTTTTGTTTTTTAAGCCTTATAGCTGTTTGTTGAAGTCATAAGAAAGTGAATAAAGAGGTAATCAATTAATTAGACTGAAATATTAAATCTATTCCTTTTCTCCCAAGATACTAGTTTTCCCAGAAGGTACTTGTACTAATCGTTCCTGTTTGATTACTTTTAAACCAGGTGAGACAAATTAAATTAAGTATTGTAACAAAGTAATATGGAAGATTTCTCAAATGATTAGCTAGCAACACACAAAATAACTAGTTTGCTCTGAACATTTCTATTCTGATAAAAGTTTTTAATGTTGTGATTCCACAAAACTTAATTCCTTTGCTTTCTTTTTTTGGTGTAATATCTCCTTTGTACTTTGTAGTATTCTCTCTCTCTCTCTCTCTCTCTCTCTCTCTCTCTCTCTCTCTGTGTGTGTGTGTGTGTGTGTGTGTGTGTGTGTGTGTGTTTGAGCAGAAACCACCAACATTTTTCTTTTCCTCCAAGGAAACCTCACAGGGGCTGGGGAGTCTGTGTCATGAAGTAGAAACCCTATTTCATTATCATTTATAATGTCTTCAAATACCTTCCAAAGTTTCTCTCCCCTTTTAAGGTTAGGAAAGAAATTCTGAATGCAGCATTCATCATAACTTATAGTACCTCAAGATGGTTGTGGATTGGCTGCTAGAGTGCTCAAGGCTGAAGTTACCACTCACTCTAGCAAGTGTGGTAGTTTTGCTTCAAGCATTTGGTTTCATCTCAATAGGCTGACTTTCTCTTTGTATTGATTTTGCCCTTAGGTTAAAAAATCTTATTGAACAATAGATATTTGGAAATGAAAACAAGTAGATAAAAATGTTTAAGTGGCTTAGGCACAGTATTTAATATTTTGCTTAAATCTTAATTTAGTAAGTTTCTCATTTTGCTAAATACCTCACAATAGTCTCTGTTATGTATTCTTAAACTATAATTATATTCATACTATACTATTTATAATTAATTTTTCTTAATTATTCTTGTTCTGAAATGGTCTAGGAGCTTTCATTCCAGGAGTACCAGTGCAGCCTATCCTCCTCAGATACCCCAACACACTGGTGAGCACAGGATTTCACTATGGGGGGAATTTAAATATTCCAAATAGCACACATTCATTAGGACTCCTTCTAATGTTTGAATAAGGGTATGACTAGGTAAAAGGTGGTAGTTGGGCAGATTCGTTCTGCTTGTTGTCTAGTTTTTAAAATGTTTCAAGATAAGCACATATTTGTGATACCAATTTTAGATACTGTTTGTTATTAAGCCTCAGGACTAGCCTTTACTATCTTTTTTTTATTTGGGTCTGATTATACTGCATGGTAGTACTCAACGATTTTCATTAAGCCTGGAAGGACACATTTTCTGATTCAGAGCTAGAGAAGGATTGAAATAGCAGGATCAACTTGAGAGAGGCTTGAACTTTAATTACTGGCTTAGTACTTACTGTGTGACCCTTGGCCAGAAGCTAAACTAAGTAAGAAAATACCTGAAAGAACTTAGCATCCTAGATCAAGTCCAGAGTCAGCACACGAAATAGTCCTCTTCTGCTTAAGCTGGGCACTCTTGACCTCTGGACATTGGATATAACCACCATTTCCCCCAAAGAAAGATTTTTTGGGGAGATAGTTTGATTCTGGGTAGACTTTCTTTACAAGAGAATTTATATAAAAGGCAGGATAAAATTATTAAATATTTATGTTATTTTAAAATAATTAAGTGTTCCTGATCAGTTCAACTTTCTATTCAGTGGCTGATTTCTCAACCTTTGATATCTAGTTAGAAATGAATTAATATCTATTAAACTTTTTCTCATACTTCTGCCTATAGGTTTGAATTTAAGTATTCAAATTCTTTCATTATTTACTACCTTAATCTTCTCTCAAATAACCTTTTTTTTGAGAACTGGTGAATTGTTTATTTTTCTTAAAAAATTTTTTTTTGATGTCACTGATGAGGTGATTTACACTTGAATCAACTCCCACACCCCTTTTAGTTTGTTTCCCAGATAGGGTTAGTCTCCCACTAACTTTACCCAGGATGGCCTCAAACCACAATCCTCTTGTCTCCACCTCCCAAATAGTGAGATTACAGCCATGCATCTCCATCCCCAGTCCTGAATTCTGTTTAGTTATTTTTTGTAAGCACATTAATTTTCCAGATTTGTTCATACTGGAAGAAAAGCATCTGAGCATATACAAGAGTTCTTTAAAACCTCAGAACAACTTGTTCCACAGAAAGATAGTGATGTAGAAAGATGAATCTTTGCTGTGTAGTTATATAATCCAGGAAGTCATAGATCAGTTCACAATACTTTGATAATAATGTGCTTATTTCACTTTTTCAATGTATTCCTTCTAATTTCAGAAAAAATGCACAGAATTCTATCATTAAAATAAGGTTATTGTTGTATTTAATATTTTCCCTCTAATAGTTTAAATACTTTTCTTATTGAAGGACACTGTGACCTGGACATGGCAAGGATATACATTGTAAGTCATTTATGTCTATTTTAGTTTATGCTAATTTTATTGTAGTGAACAAAAAGAAAGGCTATTTGTTTCTTCTTATTTTGTAACAGTGGAGGTTCCAATCAGAGCCTTAAATCTTGTGACTGAATCTCTATAGAGTGTCACTGTATTGCATACTAACCCCAGGTGACTCCCACTTGGGCAGTTCTAGTTAGCTATCATGTTGAAATGATTTTTGTGTACCAGTGTGTAAGAAGCATTCCAGAGACCTAGCCTGCATCATACCTAACTTGAATTTTGCACGTTCATTTCCATGGCAGATTTAGCATTAGCTGATGTACTTTATGACACTGGTTTAAACAGTTCAGACACATTTAGTTTTATGGCCTGAAATAGTTGAGATATGTCTGACATGTGTTGAGAAAATAGCTAACCAAGATTTCAGTTCTGTTCTTGGATTTCAAAAGTCTAGAGATCAGCAGTTTCTATAAGCCCTTAGGAGAAGAGGAATACAGTTTCACTTTCGAACAAGCTAAAGTGCAATGGCCTTTAAAGGAAACAGAACACGTAGACTATGTATTTCAGGATCTTTTGTTTAGTTCCCCCTAGAAAAGCTTGAGCCTATGAGAACCAAATGAAGCCCCTGGCTTTGAGGACTTTCCACAGGGGCTTGTCCAGTGTTCATACTCTTAAGCACAGAGTTCAAATCCCATTGCTGATGGATAGGTGACAACTACCTGGAAACACTTGAAAGGAAATCATCATTTGCTTCAAGCACACCATGGGGTTCTTTGCATAATTGCACATGATCTCACCAACTCAAGAAAAACAAGGATTTCACAGTTCTCCTTTTTTGGGTGTGTGTATAAATTGCTTTGAAATAATAAATTTAAATCAAAGTAGATACTTATGGGCCTGGGGAATAGACATGTACATGTATAGAACATTCGTTTCTATTGTGCTTTAGTTCTTGGTAGTTGAAGTTAACCAAAGAACACCAGAAATAAAGAACAAATTGCAAAGGTATATAGATAATACGTTATCTTTAACTCTTTAAAAGTCAAGTTGTTTATCAGACTAGAATACGTTTCATGCCACTACTGCTTTTGAATTGCTGGTTTTCAGCTTTTATACAAGAAAGTAGTGGGAGAAACAAGTAGTATGAAAGATTTTAGAAAGAGAAGTACCTAAAACTTGGGCGGGTACATATTTGTATTTCCTGATATGTGTCATCCTTCCGGCCCTTACAGACCAAGTTCCCTGTAGAGATGGTGACAGGTTTATTGTGTGATCAGTATAGCTTTGTTTTTGGTTATGCAACAGTCCTGGTGGCTGTGAAGCTCAAATAAAAGAAAGCTTTCTGGAAGGAGGATCAGGGGTAGAAAATAGAGTAATTTGCTAATCTAGCCTTCTAGCCTGGAAAGTGTGATAAACAGGAAAAGAAAATTGGAGAGTGAATTTAATAATGAAAGGAAAAAAAGAACCATTTCAAGATTCAGAGATTTCCTAGGACTTATAAACAAACACAAAGTCTTTGAAAGGCACGGTTTTGTTTGGTCCATGTGCCCACCTCACACTTACCTGTGGCCAATCTCACTTCTAACTTTGTCTTCTGATAAGGCTATCGTCAGCACTATGTCTATGCAAAATCAATGGTTTCCCAGTTGTCCTTGCTCCAAGTGCTACTTTAGGTACAGATTTAGGAAAGAGATGTTACTCCAAAGCAGATATCCTAAGGAAGAAGAGACTCAGGGAATAAGTTTAGAGAAGGGGAAGCTGTGGGAAAACTGTTTTCTAATCTGTGTAGGAGGTGTTTGGTTTGCCTGTAGGGTGAACAAGTTTTATGAGATCTTTTGGATGATTTTACTTTTCATATTATTTAACAGAATGTGTATTCATTCAAATACTAGAATTCTAAAGCTCCATTTAAATAATTAAAAATTTTACTTTGTAGTAGGTAATGTGGATTTATATGGTTTGGAGTTTGTAGATAGGAAAATATTTTTTCCCTTTTATATGGAAGGCTTCAGAATGATCACAGTAACAAGTTATAATTAATTGTAGAAGTGCTAACTCTACTTCCTAAATACCTTCTTTTAACTAAATTCTTTATTTAAACTCCTAACTTCCTTTAGCAAATCCTTTCAGGTAATTTTTACAGAAAACCACATTTTAATTTCTTAATAGCAAAAAAGAATTTTAAAAGATTGCCAGGTTTGTTCTTAAACATATGGTCTAATCCACTCTGCCTGATTTCTGGGTCAACTGTCTAATGAGGCTAAACTGACAATCCTACAGAAATCCTATCCTGACAGTCTGCATACATGCTGAAAGCTGCAAGTAGGAACATCTATTTCAAAACCTATCTTAGAGGGTCAACTAACTACCTTCTAAAAAGCTGTACATTAGCATTTGAACTTTTCAGAACATTTCCCTACAACAAAAATATTAATATGAGACACTTTTGATAAAGTTTCTACTTTTAAGGAGAGGCCCACTGATTTTTAAAAAAATTCTTATGGTGTTCTACTCAGGATTTTTCCTATCAACACATTTATGTACCTTAAAACAGCCTTCGGGTCAGTTTCTCTAGGGACATAGGCTTGTAAGTGAGTGTGTGTTGTCAAGGAAACTACAAATACAGGGTTTCGTTCATTGAGTTGTGGCTATGACTCACAAGTGCGATGCACTTTGGTGTTGCGTTCAGTGATTTCACTTATCTATTTATTTTGCAGTAGTGGGGTTTGAACTCAGGGACTTGTGCTTACTCTGTCAATTCAGCCATGCCCTCAGCCCTTTCTGCTTTGGTTATTTTTGAGGTAGGATCGTGCTTTATGCCACGCTGGCCTGGAACGTGATCCTGCTACTTGTTCTTACCCTCACAGGTGGGATGACAGATTCATACTAGCCATTGGTTGAGATGGCTAACTTTTTGCCCTGAATCTCGATCCTCCTGATCTCTGCCTCCCAAGTAGCTAGGATTGCAGACATAAGCCACCATGCTTGGTCTTCATTAATTTTGGAATAGCAGGAATAGTTGTCTAAGTCACTGAAGTGTTACAGTTGTGGTGTCTCATTTATAAATGCAAAATATATGTGAAGTGTGGTGTAGGGATGCCTATGTGCAAAGAGAGGCTTGTGGAGTAATGGTAGCAATGCTGGTATTACCAGGTAAGAACAGCCTCTCTTTTTTCCTTTCAGCCTCCAGCTCTGTGCACTTACTTTCTGCCAGCCCTTCACAAAGGTAGAAGTTGAGGTAAGTCATTCCCATGTAGCCTTGGGACTTGAGATTTGGGTTTTCCTTTAATTTTGAATTTCTAGTTTATATTTTATTTATTTATTTTGATAGAACTGAGGTAGGCAAGTGCTGTACCACTTGAGCCGCTCTGCCAGCCCTGAATTTCTAGTGTAGAGGGTCCACTATCTTTAATATGAGTCCCGATCTTTTATACATTGTCTAAATCCATGCTGTCAAATTAAGTCCTTGGAATCACATTAGCAAATGCCTGTAGCTTCTGGGAACTTCCAACATGTAGCCACCCCAGCTGGCCGGATTTGTATCCTGTGTTCCCATCCATGATGCTGACCTCTGCTAAGCTGAATGATACATGTTCATACCCTAACTAAAGGAGCTGGAGGTAGCCCGCGGAGCCCCACAGTTCCTTCAAGACTAGCTTCTGTGACAGCTGAGAGGTGACCACGAGGGCTCTGGGGAGAGACACAGAGGTCAAAGCACTCACTTAGGGACTCACTGTGCACAGGGGGAGCTGAGAAAGTTGTGCCTGGGGGTAGTTCATATCGTTGTTCACAGAATGGAGTCTTTCTGTTTGAGTCACAGTGGCAGGTGGGAGGGAGGGAGTAATTAGAACATTTTGAAAATTTGGGTCAGATTTTTTAAGACTCTGAAGTTGGTTCCTGATACCAAGTGATACCCGCAGGTAGTGACTGTAGAATTAAGGTTAGAATACTGGGTCCCAAGACTTTTGCCTGGATGTTCTAGTTGCATCTATAGATTATGTAATGACAATCTCAAAATGTCATGTGTAATGCAGAGTTCAGGATGGGGCCTGGTCTCTAAATGGCAGGGCTCTGTAGTTAAAGTCACATGAATACTCTTTTGCTTTCTCAGGTAGCTTAGCTGTTCAGCTATTTAGAGGTTGTCAACAGTATTGAGTGATACAGGAGAGTAAGTTAGATTTTAAAATGGGTTTCAATTCAGTGAACATTTTCTTGAGATTGGCATGTTGCCAGCCTGCCTTGAACATATCTGTTGGTTTTATTCTACGCCCACTTTTAAAACCAGCATGGCATCTATCAGCATGACCATAAGACACAGCACAACACTAGCTCTTGGGATATACTTATAGGCATACACAAAAAAACAAACTAATCTGCATTCTACAAGTTCAGGAAGTGCCAGGGTGAACAAAGTCAATCCGATGAATCAGATTTCCTATTTTTCCTGGTGGTACTGGGGATTGAACTTGGGGCCTTGTGCTTGCTAGGCAAGTGCTCTGCCACTTGAGCCACAGCCCTAGCCTTTTGGGGTTTTTTTTGGCAGAACTGAAGTTTGAACTCTTGAGGGGTTTTTTTGTTTTGTTTTTTTGTTTTTTGTACTTTGCAAACATGCACTCTTCACTTGAGCGTCCATTTTGCTTTGGTTATTTTGAAGATAGGATCTCATGAACTATTTGCCTAAGCTGGTCTCGAACCTCAGTCCTCCCAATCTCAGCCTTCCAAGTAACTAAGATTACAGGTGTGAGGCACTGGTTCCTAGCACCCCTGTCCCTTTTGCTTTAAGTTTGTTTTTCAGATAGGGTCTCATGCTTTTGTATGGGCAGTCTCAGACCAAGATCTTTCTACCTCTGCCTCTCAAGTAGCTGAGAACTATCATACCCAGCTTGTTTTTGAGATAGGGTCTCACTAACCTTTGTCCATGGTGGCCCCAAATTGTGATCCTCCTGTGTAGCTAGGATTATGAATTAAACTCTGTTGTCTCTGTATGGCTCCTGGAAGATTTTTCTGTAGATTAAATATTAGGAAGTCCTGTATCGCGTTATTCCTAAGTACCCTGAGCGCTGTTTTTCCTTCTTTAATGGCTACGCAGATAGTCTAGCCCTGTCTTCCTCTTCTAAAAAAACAAAACCAAACAAAAAACCCCCAACAAAACCCATACTTAAAACAGCCATATTGTCTCTCCTCTGAAAATTTGGACGCTATCACACACACACACACTATCCTTTCCTCTAGATTGACTCCTTTTCAGCTAAAACTAGATCAAGCCACAGATGTGGCGTGCATACAGCTCTGTACCTTTTTGCTTAGCCCATGTTTCTGTGGTCAAACTCCATTACAACAGAGGTGTGGTGTGTAAGTACCTCACTCTGTGCATTACTGCTATCACCACCTTTCCTTCCTGTGTCATGGCTTGCTTGCTTTCTTTTTTTATTTTCGAACTTAGAGTATTTGCATTTTTCCAGCTGGTTCTGAGACCTCTTTGAATAATACTTTCTGGCAAGGAAAAGAATGTATTCTTTGTTCTACAACTTCACAAACAGAATGGTTCTCAGTCTGTTTAAAAAATCAGTGGGGATTTGGTTTATTAGAATTGTGGTGCAGAGTTAGACAGTGGAATGTATGGACTTTAAATTTAGTATTCTTATTTTAGATTTATGATGCTGTCTTTCATCCATGCAACTCCCATTTTATTTTATTTATTTTAATTTTTGCAGCACTGGGGATTGAACCCAGGCCTCACACATGATAGATAATTACTCTACCACTGATCTACACCCGCAGCCCTTTTTACTATATTTTAAGATAGTGTCTCACTAAGTTACTCACACTGACCTCAAACTTGCAATCCTCCTCCCCTGGCCTCCCAAGTAGCTGAGATTGCAGGTGTCTGCCACCATGTCCAGTTCTAACTGCTTTATGAATTTGAATATTTTAATTCTCCACTATTTGAATGTAACTAAAACATGTATATCCATACCCTGGTTCAGAATCCAAAATTCTGGGTCTTGTCTCTGAGACACCCCTCTTTTCTTCTTTTACTTTAAAATTGATGGGCATCCTTGTGGTTATTGTAAACATGTTCTTAGAACTTCTTGAATACTGGGTAAGCCTAATTCAAGATGTTTTATCCAAGAATATGGTATAAGCCCTACTGTGTTTGAAGTGAGCTTTGAGTGGATTGTTCAAGTGCCCTTTTAGGTACTCTTAGTTATGGGGTCACAGGACATCTCAGTATCCAACTGCTATAGCTTTTAGTTTTACAATTCTCCATCAGGAATGATTACCAAACTCTTTAATCACCAAAACCTTGGTGACTCAGATTTTTCAAAATGTAAGTTCCATCTTTCATGCCCTATGGAATTGGTTCCTGGTATCCTTGAACAGTGGTGGAGACATGTTTGCCTACAGAGTGGTTCTACTGAAAATTATTGTTTAAGTCATGATGTGGTACAATGGATGTTTCTAAAGTGTCTTCTTGTCATCACATTTATCAGTCAGCTCTTCATGAGTGTGTCCTTATAAGCATATAATTTAGGGTATAGGATATAAGGATATAATTTAGGGTATAAGACAGCTAGTAAGAAATATCACAGAATATGTATTTCATGACAGAACAATTGGTAAATCAGACAGACAACACCATGTGGGCAGAGACTCGTGTTTGAAAGGAAATAGACCTTCACACTGACTACTGGGTCACTATCCTTCTTCATAAGCTGTGTATCAGTGTGTATTCAATGCATGTTGACTTTAGACGCCATCTAGCACATTGTAGATACAGAAAAATGATTCATCTATAGGCAGATAGGTATATATTTCTTTAGGAAGCTCCTTCATAAACTTACAGTGATTTTTATAGTGGTTAGCATTAAACCTAAGATAGTTTATGGTGGTCAGTTTGCCTTCAGTAATATAAATGGATTTTTTTCTAACTTAGAAAGAACATCTGATTTAGGAAAGAATTGTAATGGTAACGAGTAACGAGTCTTCAAAAAGTCAGTTACTTAGGGAAGGCTCAAGTATAGCCATGCCTTGCTTAATGGGGATGTGTTCAGAGAAGGCCTCGTTAGGCAATTCCGTCATTAGCAAACACCATAGAGTGTACTTACACAAACCAAGATGGTCTAGCTTGCTACCTGCTAGGCTGTACAGCATGTTATTGTAACTGAGTACTACAGGCATTTATAACACAATGGTAAATATTTGTGTGTGGAAATTATGCAAGCATAGAAAAGATACAGTAAAATTTAAGTATAAAAGATGACAAATGGTTACCTGTACATGAAGATGCCATGAATCCTGTGTGCCAGTTGCAGCTGCCCTGTGTGACCAGTGAGTGAGTGGCAGGGACATGAAGCTTCACACAGGACCATGTGCTCCTGTGACATTCATGAACACTCTGCACTTATGTCACATTCAATTTATAAAAAATACACTTATTTCTTTAGTGATAAATGAACCTTAGATTGCAGTAATTTTTTGACTCTTGTAATATAATTCTTAGTTTGAAATATGAACACTTTGTAGGCAACAGGAAATTCTCAGATAGTTTTCTGGAACCACCATTGAACATGTGATCCATCATTGATCAAAACATTGTTACGTGGCACATAGCTATGCACTTACATAATTTATTTAAATATCAAAACACATTAAAATTGTAGTTTTGAATTCAAAACAGGTCATTTAGAAATCCTGCCTCTCATGACTACACACACACACACACACACACACACACACACCATATTCATACTTGCTCTAACAAAGCTAATTTCTTTTGGAATTTTAAGTACTAGTAGAGAAATGGATTATTATTAAAAGAGTATTTCTTTAAGGAAATTACTTAAGCCCTTCTAAGCCTGAGTTCTCTTTGGCAAATGAGAAAAGTAATGCCTAATTTAAACATTAGCTTTGACTTCCTGCTTCACCTGGATGCTTCTCTTCTTCTGGGAAGGAAGCAGCAAATGTCCATAAATCTCTTCCTTCTTTTGCATTTTCTCTCTATGAAGGTTGAAATGAAGAACCATAGGAACAACTAGAACTGGACATTTGTTAAGACTGATTTAAAATTTCTATTATGAGAAAAAAGAAAAGATAAACGAGAACATCCTCACTCATCAGTCTTCCTCCTCCTCCTCATTATTGAGTGCAAAGAAACAGTGAGCAGCCTAGTTTCAGTGGTGCTGAGTGTTGATGGAGAGGACTAGCTCTGGTTAAGTGGCAGATTGAGGAGTTTTGACTATCTTGTGTCAGGGTAAGACCAAGAAGAGGTGGGGAACTGAACAAAAGCACAAATGAGATGCTAGTTGGGGAAAATGTCCTTGCCTGGGACAGGGTTGCAGGGTATGATGAGGGTGTGGAGAGCATTTGAGATGGGGAAGGGATGCAGCTGTGGGACCAGCCTCAGGAGCAGTGGGAAGGGAACAGTAGTTCCCACAAGCTGTTTTCTGAAGTTGAAAGTGATGTACCTTTGGGCCAGGTGGAAAGAGGTAAATGAAGAATTGCAACTTGAAAGCATGGAGCAGGTGTAACTGCCTTTAGCATCCCGCCATGCCGTGGGTGTGGCAGAAGTGAGAGATTCTAGTTGACAGAAAAGCCATATAGTCTGCTCAAGTGTAGATGGGCAGGCAGATGTTGTCAGAGGGAGCGGATAAAGAGGAATGAGTCGGTTTCTACGTGGCATGGCTGTTGAATTGTCATAGCCTATGCTAGAGCAGATTAGAGGAGATGTAAACCCTCCTGCACAACGAGGAAAAAGTGACTGGAGAATTTGTCAGAGGAAGAGGTTAACATCACACATTGGTTTCCATGCTGAGGTGGCATTGAGAACAGTGTCTGTGGCCAGTTGAAGGGACTGGGAAATCAAGATGGCATACGGGCCATCTGTGTGAGTGTGAAGGACAAGGAGAGACTGTAAAGATGGAAAGAAAAATGGTCCTGAAGTCCCAGGGGCATTTAAATGTGTGTTGAGACCACCATAGATAATGATGGTCATGTTCCCTCTCTTTGATTGGTTTTCCTTTCCAGATAAAGGCTGTGTTCATTCTGTGAGCCTTGGGTGACTGTACAGAAAGGAAACGTATTGTAGAGGCCATGTCCTATCCTAGGAGAGGGGATTGTTCAAATTCACACTAAGTTGCTCCTCAGGAGGCCCAAGGGAGTCAAATGTGGGCTTTTAATTATTTTATATGCTCAGTGGAATTTATTTCCTCAAAAATAAGAGGCATCTTATTCACCAATATGAGTTATTGAAAGTCATTTTATGGGAAATATCACCTGCACTAATTGAAACTAAACCTGTGGTTCATTGTATTCTGTTTGGTTAGCAGTGTAGCAGCAATTTAATTTTCAGAGTTTTCAGTATGTGCTTTTATGACCTATAAATCAAATGTATTTTAAATAGTCATTGGCTTTTTTTTAATGAATTATTTGGCAATTTAAAGCCTTACTTTCTTAAAATGTTTGTTAGAGATTTTATGGACATTGATTTCAACATACTGCTTCTTTCCTTGAGTTTCGTGCTATGCAAACAAGGAATTTTACTATCGCAGGATGCAGGGAACTTTTAGGAAGACATATTTACAGTGTGTTCTGGATACTGAAGTGATGTGGGGACCTCTGGTGGCCTACCTTATTTTTCCAGCATTAAGAATAAAGATGCTAATAGAGTTGCCATGGAATTCCAACTGGGAGGGTGAGAGGGTCTTCTAGTGGGGTTTTCAGTTGTCAGGAGAAGGACCTGCTAAACAGGAGACTCATGAAGGCACGATGACTTTCCTGGAGTCACACAGTGAGCCCAGGTCGAGTGCTCTTTCTGCAGTGTGCTACTGCTCCTTGGAGAAGTTAATGAAATAATTGGGAAAAGTGGAATGACACATGACAAGTTTGAAACATTTTACCTTAAAGATGCCTCTTTCATCCCAGCTGTGCCCTGCATCCTTGCTCCAATTCTAGCTCTCAGGGTCTCTCATGGGACCATTACAGGGTTGAGCCACACCCCCAGCCCCTTTTTGTTTTGGTTATTTTTCAGATGAGGTCTCATATTTTGCCAGCTTTGGACCTCAGTCCTCTTACCTACACCTCCTTCATAGCTGTAATTATAGACATACACCCCTATTGCTGGCTTGTTTGTTGAGATGGGAGTATTGCTAACTTTTTGCAATAGAACTGCTTTCCTCATGATTTCCACCTCCTGAGTTAGCTGGGGTTATGAGCATGTACCGGTACCACCATGCCTGGACCCGTGAACCATAATTCTTTATAATAAAAAGTAGAGAGATAATTAATTAAATGAAATGATGCATATAAAACACCTAGCAGGGTACTTGGCACATGCTACATGGTTATAATTCAATAAACAGTAACTATCGGCAAAATCACACTTGTCCTTAAAAAGCCACAGTCAATACTGGCTCTTCTGTAAAGCACCCTCTACAAAATTCATTCCTCTGTGGGTGCCATTTCCTCAGGTATCACAGGCATCACCTCCTGCTTTGGCTTCATTTGCTTTCCCCTGGCAAAAATAAGTCATCTTGTACTTCTCACTCTCCCACTCCAGAAGGAATGGCTTAGTGGGGACAATAACCTTGGGCTAAATCTGTGTCATGTGACTTGTACGATATTGGGTAAGTGAATTAAGCCTTTAAGTCCTACCTATAATTGAAATAGTAGAGGTAATGATACTTAGTGAGTTATTGATGTATTGGTTTATCCTATTAAAATGTGGATCTTTAGAGCAGGGGGTCCTATTAATCCTGCCTAGAATATAGCAAGTGCTCAAAATATGCAAAAACTTGAATATGGCACCAAAACTTTGTCAATCTTAGAAAACCATGAATAAAAAGAATAGAGCAGGTATGGTGGGGCTCTCCAGTAATCCTAGTACTTGGGAGATGGAAGCCGGGGGATCAAGGCCAGCCTGGTGAAACCAAAACAAAACAAGCAAGAACAGTACAAATGTGGCATCACAGAATAGCAGGTGGAGACTAAAATGAAACTAAAAGTAACAAAGCAAAAAGCTTGAAAGCTAGTACTGAAGGCTTTTTTAAAGCAGAAGTACAAAACATAAAGTTCAAATTGCCAAAATATGGTTGGCATTGGAGTGGATAGGGAAGATAAAAGACAAAGAAAGGAAGGCACACTTTCCACATGGGGGTAGAAGTGGGGAAATTCAGCTGTGAGAAGACAATGTTGATGCCACAGCTTTACAACTTCCAGAATCCCAGATGTCAGCCCATCTCAACACCACAGCAGCAGGACATGGGTGACCAGTGCCCTCCCGATAGAGGTGAGGAGACACGACAGTTCCACAAAGTTAACAGGCAGACCCAGGACTTGGGTTCCAACCTCCGAGCTCACACCCAGGGTTCTTTCTCTTCATTCCGTCATGTAACCCATGCTCTAGAAAGGCAAAGGACTGGATGTAGTGATAGACCATTCACAGATTAATTTATTTAGATTTAATGTCTGAGGACTAGGGATTGCTGTTGATGGTTCTGTTTGTCTTTCAGTTCATGCCTGTGCAAGTGCCAAATGATGAAGAAAAACATGACCCTGTCCTTTTCGCCAGTAGAGTCCGGAACTTAATGGCAGAGTAAGTGTCTGTATGAGATTATAACCAATAAGTAACTTGAAAATTCTTGGTAAATATCACTTAACATAACTTTAAGTCTACATTTTTTTTCTTTTCCTGAGTGCCTCATTCCCCAGCCTGTTTTGTTAAGTAAAATAATGTGCCCAGGACACAATGAATAAAATAATCCATAAATATTTTCCCAGCTGCAACTCCAAACTAACATAATAAATGCATTTTGACCAGAAAGATGGTGTAGGGTATGATAACCAGAGGAGACCAGTTGGTGCCTTCCACAGGTGGCACCTGTCACTGTCACACAAAGCCTTGTCATGCTCTCTTCAGCCTCCACATAGCTGCCCAACAATGATGCTTCATAGGCATTAATGATTCTGGCACCAAGAAGGAAAAAGTGTGCAGGGGGAAAAGATGTACAGAAAAGGGGAAAGTTCCCTCTCTGAAGGAATGGCTGTAGATTTAGTATTTAAAAACTACAAGACATAAGGCATATATTTCCTGCACTTAAGGGAGTTTTAACTGGCCAATATTCTAGCCAGATAAATCACCCCTGTCTTGCAGTGAAAGAATGTGTTATACTGTGCCACCGCCCAGGCAGTCTCAGGGCTGTCCAGATGTGTACCCACTCTCCAGGCACCACCTCCCTGTCATCCCTGAGAGCAGCTTTGGAGCTAATGGGCCTGAGTGCTTTCTCTTCTCAGCAAAATTTCAGCAGGAACTCTGAATTTCTCTTCATACTTTAATTTGGTCATATAGCTAGTTTTCATATATATGTGCATATATATATGAAATGATATATATTGTATAATTGTAATTATATAATACATGTGAGATCATGGATAATATAATTATACATAATAATTATATGCTATACATTAATATTATATAATTATATATTACATAATTATAGTCATTACAATGAATTATATATAATATGTAATTATATATAGTATAATTATATAATATAGTTGTAAATTACATATGTAATTCTGACATACATATGTACATACACATATATATCTTAATTCACAGCAGAATAAATTTATTTTCAAAAAGTAGAATAAATGTTTATCAACCAAAACTTTACTACTAAGTGTTCTTTAGGTGTGCTTATTTACCTGGTTTCTAGACTAGCTACAAAATGGGCTTTATATTGTTTCTTTCATAATGTTAAAGCAGATTTTGTAGGTCTGTGTCACCTTATGTCCAAAAGTTATGAAATTCATATTAGGAACTAAGAGAATTTATATTTGATGTTTTGACTTCCCAAAATGTGGTTAATAATAGAGAAGGGATTTGTTTAGGCAGCCCCTCTCAGAACTGGGGAAGGGGTAATAATGGTCTTGCATAAAGAGTAAGAAAAACCTTAGTTAGCTGCACAGACTTGAACAAGTTCCCTCCACAGCTCCTTCTCCTCACATGTGAGATGGGAATTAAAGTTACTGCCTTGCCTTTCTTGTAGTTTTGATTACTGAGGGACTCAAGTAGAAAGTATATAAGCAAGGCATTCGAAAATGCTAAAGAGCAAAGGAGAAGTAAGGTAATGGTGGTGCTACTAATAAATGCTAACCAAGTAATGTCAGGCCCTGTTCTTGTGCTGACGCCATCCTCACAGCCACTCTGTGAGGTAAGAAAGGACGCAGAGGGCTGGCACAGTGGCTTAAGTGGTAGAGTGCCTGTCTGCCAAGGGGGAGGACCTGAGTTCAAACCCCAGTGCCACGAAAACCAAACAAAACAAGAAGTTGGTCAGAAAGTAACTCAGGGGCCCCAAACCATACTTGGTAGTGACCTCACTGTTACTCACATCACACACTTCCTGCTGCAAAACCCAAACTTGTAACTGTTATGCTGTCCCATTTATTATTATAATTCCTGAAATATCTTCAAGGTTTGTTGTCCATCTTAAATATGCTTACACTAAAATATCAATCCAAAACAGCTCAGATGTTTTATGCAGAAAAAATCCAGGGTCCATAGCAATAATTCAACAAAGTCAAGTATAGTTGAGGACATAAATTTATGATTTCCTCGGAATACTTGTTAATAACATTTTGTGAAGAAGAATCTTTAGGAAATCATTTCATGTGTTACATAGCTTTCTTTTTGGTACTTAGCATGGTTTTTTTTTCATTTCCTATTAAAATATATTTTTTCCAAATCTAGTTCACCAGAATTCAATTTCTGAGCAGTAGAGAAGTAGATAGTAGGAGTAATGCTGAACTTTGAAGGTAGAGGGTATTAAGTTGGAAGAAATGTTGGCTTAGTATCAATTTGGTTCAGTAGTTTTAGAGAATTACTGTATAGCAAGAAGAAGACTCTAGTCATAAAAGATTTTAAACATTTTTTTAAAAACGCAGATGGCAGTGGTTTGGGTGGAAGGTTCGCTCACAGTGCGTGCAAATGACGTTTACCTGTTTAAATGGTACTTCCCCAGGCCATTCTTATTTGCCCTTCCAACACCCTGTGAGGAAACTCTTCCTATGTGCTGGTAAGAGTGACGCTTAGGTTCCTGCACCGTCAGGCCCTCGGCTGGTGACTGACTCCCCTAAGTCATGGACCTGCTTCTGGTTACTTTCTATGAAACTCAAGTTAAATTGTTACTGTTGTTCTAGTTAAAGCACAGAAGGAATTTCACTTGGATCATAGTAAGTCTGGGAAGAAGTAGCGAGGTAGGTTTCTGTTCTGTTATTTGTTGACCAGTTCAGGCCTGATGAAAAATCATTACTTTTTGTCAAGAATTGAATTTTTTTCTTCTTAACTCTTTGCAGAGCTCTAGGAATCCCAGTAACAGACCACACCTATGAGGATTGCAGACTGATGATTTCAGCAGGCCAGCTAACATTGCCTATGGAAGCTGGGTTGGTGGAATTTACTAAAATTAGCCGGAAATTGAAGTAAATGTATTTTCAAGTTACTACACTTTCATAAAGGTGTCAAAAGAATCTCTTATGTTCTCTTGCTGTATTAGTGCTTAGCTCTAGGACTGTAGGGTGTTTTTTAGGACAGCCAGGATGTGAATTTATCTTCCATTTTATTCATCTAGTTTCATTTTTTGAGAGCAGTTAACTCAGAGATCAGTGCATGCGTTGGTCACAAGGGGTGGTCGACATGATCCGCACAGATGCCCTTCTTACTCGAAAATGGCTCAGAGTCGTTGGCCAGGCCTGCCACCTTTTTACAAGAGGGTTAGCATAATTACATGATACTGATGGTCAGAACTTCACGTGTAAAAAATTTGTAGGGTAGCCATTCTGACCATCACTGAGCTTTAAATACTTGCCCTATGTCTACTTTTTTTCCGGTACCTTTTTAATTTTTTTTCCCAAAGACAAAAACTCCCCTTTGTGTTTTTATGATCTAGTTTAAGCCATTTCCAACATTCCCTTTCAGCTACCTTATATGTATAAAAACTGTAACACTCACACTCGCTCCCCCGCCTCCTGGGTTTTCTGTTCTCATCCCTTTGAGGAATTTGCAGAATTTGTTGATTTAACAGACCTTTCTCCCTAGGAAGAATGGGTTACTGGATTAACATTCAATGCTAAAATATATTATTTTGATAGATGGTATAGAAATATTATTTGTATCTTCTTGATGACAAAAATGTTTTGCTTTTGTTTTAGTATTCTATCTACAGTATTCCACAGATTTGAAAAGTGTAGCTAGTCACTGAAATTGGCTATAGAAGGGAGTTAGATCACTGGTTTAATACTGTAAGGCAAAGACAGGAGATGATGTAAGCTGCAGTAAACCTTCCAGCATTCTATCATCTTGATTTTTTATAACTAATATTAGAGGAAGTGTGTATGGTCTAATATCTCTATTACAACATGTTGTGAAATATGAATTATCAGCTGAAAAGCTCTTTGAAAGCAAGATTTATAGTTTCTTTTGTAACAAGTTGATAAGGAATATTGACTTACTAAATAATGTTTAGGTTAAATTTGCTTTCTCATTTTTTTCTCATGAGTCATTCATTATTCTGTCACATTGCTCTTCTTCTTGGTCACTTTCTTTCTGTCAGATAGTTGGGGTATTCATCAGTTATATTAATGTGCTTTTAAAATTAAATGCTTGCACACACGTTCAATATGTACTTTAAGTCCTCATTTTCATCTCCTTTTCAGATATATAAAATAAATTCCTCTGAGACAAGTTAAATATAACAATGTTCATCAAACATCCGTGTGAATTGGAAAGAGCTAATAACGTATATTTATAATTCTCTGTTTAGATTAGATTGGGATGGTATTCGTAAGCATTTGGATGAATATGCATCAATTGCAAGTTCTTCAAAAGGAGGAAGAATTGGAATCGAAGAATTTGCAGAGTACTTAAAGTTACCTGTTTCAGATGTCTTGAGACAGCTCTTTGCACTCTTTGACAGGGTATGTTAAAATTTAATCTTTAACATTTCACTCTGTCAGTGCCTACAGAGCATAAATCAGTGTAGCAGACATTTGAAATACTTTTCACCCTAGTATGATGTTAATAATAATTGCCTATGTGTTGCTACATTAATGATAGTGTCCATTTATTTTAACTAGGAACTAATACATGTTGTGACCACATAGCCACATCTGTAACATGGAATTGGAAATGTTTACATAATTGGCAAGAATTTTAAAGTGTGTGTGGCTTGATGACATGAGTGGTAGCATTCTATTCTGAAGGTTTCTGGCCTTCCCACAAATGTGTGAAGACTAAAGAGATTTTATTTTCAAATGTTGTACTTTTTAAACTCTTTGCTGCTTGTGAATACGTAAGTATATATAATTAAATAAGTGAATTATCAAAATGTTTCCTTAAGAAAAATGTATCAAGATTTCAAGTTCCTTTTTAAATTTATTTTTCAGTGTATGGAATTACTAGGAAAATGCACCCTTTTGGCTATAGTTCTGTGGGTTCTAGCAAATGCATGGGGGTGTGCAGCTATCATGACATTCAAGACAGCAATTGTGAAGAAAATAGATCTCTATCGCTAGCTACCCTTTTGTAGCCAAGCCCTTCCCCCAGCGCTAGTCCCTGGCAGTCACTCATCTGTTCTCCATCCCTGTAGTTTTGCATTTTCCAGATGCCTTATAAATGGAATCATGTAGTATTATAGTCTTGATTCTGGTTTCTTTCACATAGCATAATGGATTTTGAGATTCACTTGTGGTGTTTGTATCAATAATTTTTTCCCTTTTATTACTGAGTAGGATTCCAGTGTGTGGATGTACCATCATTAATTTATCTATTCCTCAGTTAAGAAGCATTTGATTTGTGTCCAATGTGAATATAGTTGTAACATAAGCATTCATGTATAGTTTTTTGTGTAAATGTAATCTTTAATTTAATTTAGAGAAAATACTTCTGAGTGTGATCTCTGTGTTTTTCCTTATCTAAAGATTACTTTATCTAAAGATATAATAGTAAAATATTTAACATTTATTCCTGAGGAATATTTTTGTTGCATATAAATTCAGATTTGTCTATTCTTTTAACAATTTAAGGATGTCCTACCATCTTCAGATCTACAGAGAATTTTGTCCAGAGGTAGTTGCTTTTTGTATTTTGTTCTAAGATGTGTGTTCAGTTGTGTTGGGAGAGATAGGCTAAACTGGGCTTATTCCCTCTTGGCTGGTGGCAGGAAGTCCAGTTCTCTGTGACAACCAGGAAAAGATATTTTGCAAAGAGGTTATAGCTTAATGACAGGCAAGGCAGAGCTTTTATTCTTTTTTGCTGGAGTACACTGTTGTTCCTAAAGAATGATTCTGATGAACCATTCTTTAGCATGATATAGTTAAGCAACCTTCTTCTATGTGCTGTGCCTGGGCCTCTCTTGTGGGCTGGCTTTACAGCATAGAAATAATTTATCCTCCTACATGAAATAATAATGTGTCAGTGTCATGGTATTACTATAAAGTGTAATAAAGATTTAAGGAGAGGGAGAAATAAATTATTGGATATAACTGTGCGAGTTGGAAAATTAGAGGGACCTTTTCACTCTTATAATTATTAGCCTTTCTGTGAGATTTCTACAACAAATTTCACCATGGCTCAAGAAGCCTTCCAACTAATTTTAAGTAAAATTTCTCTGTATCTAAAACCAATACAGAAAGAACATGGGTGGGACAAACAAATAAGGACAGGAGATGGGGAACTTAAAGAAACATGAAACAGGAACAAAGAGGGAAATTTATAGCACAACTTAGATAATATTCACCAGGATTTTAAAATCAAAATGAAGAATAGCATCTAGAGCAGTTGCCCTGCCTGTCAGGTGCCAAACTGTCATAGCTAGCCATTATAGAATTGTTAGGACACAGTTCTGTCTTTTGATGATTGATGATAACTACCAACAGCCCCAAAGTTTCTATGGCACTTTTCAATAAGGAAGATTTGGGAGTCGGGAAGGGAGCGTAAAGCAAGGATTAAAATAGCCCATGGTAGCCAGGTTGACTCACTGGGAACTGGAGGAGACAGTTAGCCCCAGGCAGCTGGGAGGCTAGGAGCTGTGGCCTGTTGTGTCAATCGCATTTCTCCATGGATTGACTGCTCCAGCCAGCAGGCTCACATAGCATTTGTAACTGGGGGTTTTCCTCACTTCTTTGAAGGATGTGACTTAGCTTTAGATAGAAACCATAAGCTCATCTATAAAGTGCATTTCTTTTGATCTTTGACATATTGGAAGATCGAAAAAAATCGTCTGGAAAATTAATGACTAATGCATTTGATATCTCACTGTTTCTCTGTGTCTATCTCTCTCTCTTTCCCTTTCCCTTCTCCCCTCCCTCCTATCACCCCTCCCTCCCTCCCTCTCTTTTGTTAACACACCTGCATGTCTGTGCCTGTGAACATTTTCTTCGTTTTGAAAAGCTGCATTATGCCATTTTGGCCACACCTCACGCACATACCCACTTCCATGTCAGGCCTGTTTTCTCAGTCTAGTTAAGTGATTTAGCTGGGGAGTGCTTGATGGGAGGAAGCTCACCAGGACTCCACAGTTTGTTTCCCTCCTATCTTGGTAAATTCAGTTGTTAGTGAGGGTGGAGGTGTGGAAGGAAGGGTGGGAAAGAGAAAGGACAGGATGTTCTTGTACTCTTTCAGTAGCTACAAATTCTTGTAGTGTAGAACTCCCTTTCCCCTTCCAAGTCTTTCCCCAAGTCCAAGACCATTGTTAGAATTTTGAGGATGAAGATAAGACCTGAGTATCTATCTACCATTCCCTTACTCTTTTTTCCTAGCTACATTTTTGACTGTTCTCCAAAAGCTGCATAATCATTTTTGCCTCAAATTGTCCTAAAAATATGCTGTTATTTCCCTGTAGTGTGTTCTTTAGATTGTAGATATTTGGTGGCAGACAATTTGAAAGTTCAACCAAAATATGGCATTCGTGACCTAAAGTATGTCATCGTATACTAGTTTGTAATGATTTCCTTTGGGAAGGTTCCCATCTCTGAGAGAGAAATGAGAGAGTCAGTTTTGGCTTTGGGCTTAACTTAGCTTCTTTTTCATGAATATGTACTGAATTCTCCAGATTAGAGGTTAATTGGGGATTAGCTCAATGTCCAATGTCCAGATACATTTGAGTTAAAAGCTGAAACAATGGCTTAAGACAGTGACTTCTCAGTATTTTTTATATTCATAACTCAAATTAAGTACTGGATTTTTTGCTAGCACATTTGAAGGAATTTAAAGGCATTTAATGAGATTAAGCAATAGTACTGGCTAAATCAGAAATAATTACCAGGCAGTCATTTTACAGTTACAGCAATGCTTTGCAGTGTCTGTAACAATGTCCCTCCCCATTTCATCCTCCTCAAGCATGTGTTGTTGAGCAGACTCATATGGTGTCTGTACAGCAGAATTCTACGTAGCTAAGAGACAGTCCTCAAGTATTCCAGCAATCACCTAGTTTTTATGGTTAGTGTTCCAACATACAATGTTGGTTGCCTTTTCTCTCTTATTACTAGTGGGTCTTCCTACATCTTTATCTCTTCCACACTGCATCTCATGATACATCCAGCTTAATGTGACCATCTGACATTGTTACCACAACAATATGGATTCCAGAGTAAGCCAAGTTTTTCCATGAAGGGTCAGGTTCAATATATATATATATATTTTTTTTTTTAAACTCTGCAGACCATTTGATCCCTGTTGCAAACATTCATCTCTACCATTGTAGGTCTAAAGCAACCATAGACAATCTATAGATGAATGGACATGGCTGACTGCATTAAAACTTTATTTACAGAACAGGCACCATTCTGGATTTGGCCTACTAGCTGTTGCTTGCTGATCCCTCTGTGTCCTAAACTGATGAAAGCAAAACATGCTGGGAGGTTTAAGGACTGGATTGAAGACGTCAGTCAGTGCTGAGAGGGGCAATCACTAATTTGTAGGCTACTCCACATCTGGTCACTGTGAATCTTTAATTTTGACTAGTTTGTCTACCTCTTGCTAATACCCTCCCACATTTCTAAGTAGTGGTGCCATCTGTCTTTGCAGATGAGAGGAAAAGAATGAGGGAGATTAAATTCTAATTCCACAGTTCTAGTGTGGCACAAACTCTGTGTCTCTTCTTTGTACCAATACTATCTATAATAGACCATTGCATAGTAAAATTTAGGTAGTTCCATTCTGTTAAAAAAATCTTGACAAGCGTTATTTTTTCTACTTTTGCTATCTAGTATTGAGTTCTTCTGGTAATACTATGTCCTTTGTTTAAATATTACACAGGAAAGGTTTGTGTGTACTTTAGCACTTTGGCACCCCAGCCTTTTTGGCTATTGTCAGTTTCTGTAGATCTTTCATTACTGTTTCATCATGTGAAATGAATGCGTTTCTTTACCCCAGGTTCTTCCTGTCTGCCCTGTTCTTGGTGTTAGCTCAAGTGTAAGTCTTGAGTGCCAATAATAACAAGCATCCCTGCCTGCCCTTTCCTGTTGAGGAGGTAGGGTGCTATCTGTGCAGATTTTTGCTCATACTGAAAATTAGGACAGGACACTTTGGTGGCTGAAGTGATTAGTAATAAACTGTAAAATCTTTTATCCTTGTAAGTTTCAAGTTCAATTGTGATAAGTAACACAGTATTTCATAGTCCATGTGAAAAGAATTGATGTTGATTCTAATCCCTGTTAGCCAGGATTTGCTATGTGAAATTCATTCTATAATTTGTGTGATACTATTTGCAGAAAAAGGCTGGAACTTTCTCTTTCTTTTTGGCGGTACAGGTGTTTGAACTCAGGGCCTCATGCTTATTAGGCAAGCACTCTTACCACTTGAGCCATTCCATCAGCCAAAAGGCTGGAACTTTCTAGGTGGTACAGATGAACGTTTCTGTTTGGTTGACCGAAAGCTTGGTAGCTGAGCCTTTTTCTCTTCAGTTCTCTGGTTGATT